GTTCCCCTAGATGCCTGCCAAACACGCAGCACATATCGCTTACCTTCAAAGTAACCTTCAAGGTTTCAAACAATATGTTTGAACGTGGGTGTGGTTCGTTTATATTAAATGTCTGTATTTTTATTATCATATCTTGTATATGCTGTATAGTTATATGACATAGCATATCCCAGGATGGTGCAATTTATAGACAGGACATGACATACACTTCACGGTGAAACACTACACGGGCACAACACTTAATTTCAACGTTAAATACATGGATGCACATATTAAGTAACACAGTTACGGTACACATACGAGAAGCACTGCGGCATGACCATGACACGCCTGCGCCTGGCGTCACAATATGGTTATCCTTGTAATTATTCAGAGAAAAATATCTTGTTATCTCGAGGCAACAAATCTCGTTTACGAGAAAACGAAGCTCATTTTAATAACGGCATTAAAAAATTGCAAGTGTCTTCCATACTAAAACTACCTTTAATGTGTCATGACAATTTGAAGAACTAAAGGCTATGAAAATTTTACCATATAACCGTGGAACGTGGCGAATGGTTTCACTTTCAGTTTAACAGATGAATACGCAGTATCTGTTTTAACATATCAAGTTCATTTCTGAAGAAGCTGCGCACATAGGCCTACTTAGTGGTAATGGGGATATAATGGGCTCTAGACAGGTTGTCTGTTTGTATGGCTATATCATATATAATATTATAAAAAGACTGAGTTTAAAAACGTAGACACAGAAATAAGCTGCTCTTTATGGTCAGCAGGGGGTGGAATAGAGACAGGAAATGGACTTAGGACCAGCAGGTTCCATCTTTCTCACTATTGTGTCCTTGCTACGTTGTTAAAACTTACAACAACAACAAATTTATTTTTGTATAGTGCATTATCACAACATTACATAGTCCCAAAGCGCTTTACAGCACCCCCACCCAAAGCCCCCAGTGAGTAAGCCATAGGCGACAGTGGCAAGGAAAAACTCCCAAGAAGGAAGAAACCTTGGAAGGGACCAGAATCAAAGGGGGAGCCCATCCTCCAGGGGCCGGCAGGGAGAGTCAAATAGGAGAGATGGCTAAGTGCCATGTCATACTGTCCAAATCATACAATTTGAGACACAACCGGGGAGCAGGGGGGAGATGACAAGCCGGTGCCGACGCTCCCTCCAATCGCCAGGCAACCAGAAGTAAGGTAGGGGGTCATACTTGGAAGATGACACAGGCAGAACAGCAAGCTGAATGCAGGGACGTCACATGTAGCAGGGTGTGCTGGACATCTTGAAAGATATATATATACTTAGTTGGTAAAAGTTCTGCTGTAAATATGGAGAAATAGTACGCCGGCTTCTTTGAGTTGATTGGAAATTTTGATGTCAATGCATTTTCATTGCCGATGTCATCAACTACGTTGACTAATCGCGGCAGCCCTAGTCTGATATTAGACCAGCTACAGAGATACATATATTGCATTTTTGAACTGCAGATTATATTTTTGCCTTCGGATGCAGTTCCCTATGATCCAGATGTTCTGACATTAACAAGGGAGGATCTTAATGAACTAATGAACCAGGTGAACATAATTTTCACCTTAGAAGACAGACAGACAAAATCACAGATATTCCGTTGACTAGTCTTTGGACTTGCAGAAATTTCATGTTTTCTGTCATCTCACCTCTAGTGTCAGAACTACTGAATAACTTATCTCATCAGTGTCACAGAGCGACATGAAGGGACGATCCTAGTGCAGTGTAGTAACAATGAGGAGATTATTACTAACAGAACAGGAAACAAAAGGGACCATGTGGGGTCACACAAAGGCAGGAGGGTAACAAGAACCAATAAGGCTAAACTAAACATGAGGAAAAACTAACACCAACAAGTACAAGTAATACAGGCAAGGAAAACGATCAGGGAACACGCTGGAACAAAACACAATGTATCACATACAGGAACCAAGCAGGGAGCAAACACAATAACTACCCAAGGAACAATGGAAGTGCAGGTACTGAGGAAAGGGAATGACTAACTGAGGAACAAAGGAAGGGTAAAACAAGAAACAAGTGTGAGGCGTAACCAATTACCCAAACCATGAAGACTAGAGCAACAAGACACAGGTGAGGGTAATAATACTACAGATTCAAACAGTAGGAGATACTAGGAACACAGGGAAAACTATACGAGACACAGGCAGCGTAAACCAGGAGCAAAGGTATAGACAAAGACTGAAACTGAAATGCATGAAAAAGGACAAACTCAGGGAAAACAGAATCTAAGGGTACAGAAACATAAAAATGATCAAACAGGTGAGGCTGGCCTCTAGCCAGTCGAAGGAGGAGTTGCTTGGTACACAGCTGCCCTCTTCAGCTGCTCACTGCCCATTTAGGCAGTTCAGGAAGCAGGGAAACACACTACGGTGCTAAACCAAGGAAAACTAGGGGAATACTGAATGGAATGGCCAGTGATAGCAGCTGGTCAAACCGGGAATTGATAGACAAGACTAGGACTGATCCTGACAGTCAGTCTTGACCCCATCCACATAAGTACGACGGTGCAGAGGGGGCAGGTGCTCAAAGTTAAAAAAGATGCACTCAATACCTTTAAAGTACATGCAAATGTTCACATCCTCATGTATGTGGTTATTGTGATAAAGGCACAGAACCCCAATTATGAATGGGAATATATTAATTGTTTTTGTATAAACACTATATACTGTATAGTTTGTGTAAAAGGACAGACTCAGACACCCCTTCCCTCCACCCTGCATATGCCTGAGATCGAGTACTTGCATATAGTTTATTCTGATTTCATGCCTATTACTTTCTTAACATGCTCAATTTTTTTAGTTTTGTGAATTTTGCTTTGATTAACCTGATATGTTTTTCCTGCTGTGAAGGAGCAAGCTGGACAAAGTATGGATTCTAGCCCAGCTGATGTCATGAGTAAGTTGCCTAAGAAAATTTGTATGGTATATAGCAACTTCATGATGTGTAAGATGCTATTGGTAACACTCCAGGTATGTCGTAAAAGTTATATTTCAAACAGCAGAAGTTTTACTAAGTAATATGGAATACGTTTCCAGCAAGACACAAAACAAACAAACGCTGCAACACGGATGGATGAAGTGGAATCCCCTCAATATTTGTCTTTATAAAACTTCCTAGTTGGACCACAATGTCCTCCATCCGTTCCCGAGTGACTGTTTAAATAGTTGCCTCACAATTATTAATGTAAGGGACCAAGAAAAAACAGGCAGGTGTAGGAATCAATTCAAATGCAGACACAGAAGTAAGTACATTCAGGCTGGCATAAAATCTTAGTTCTGCAGACAAACTGGTTTAAGTTGTGTTAAGCCAAATAAGTAACAGTTACATTTGTAACTGCTGAAGTTTTACTTCTAACTAAAATAAAGGCTTATACAGCAAGAATATGTACCCTAGGGACTGTTTTAACAGAATCACATACAAGTCAAATAAAACGTGCAACACACAGAGGTTATTATATGTTTTCTAACCTTGGTCTCACTGTCTCATGTGAAGAGCTTGCTGCTGAGGCCCAGCAGCCCAACTTGGCTGCCCAGGATTCCAATAACCCAAACAACGCGATTTCTGGGAAGGGCACTGATCCTGCAAGAGAGAAGAGTGAATCTGATGAGTGGGTGGATCTTGCTCCAGGTAAAGTGAATCTTGGGCCTGAGTGATCTCTGCATAAATATGTTCTAAGATTATATGCTTCAAAGAAAAAGAATCACAATCAGTAACTGAAAAATATTTATTTTGGGTGGAAGACAATGCCACAATATTGAGGGAGTGCAGCATTATTGTTTTGAAACTGCAAAACACTCAGGCAGAGGATGTCACAGGTTGAAATAGCAAGCAGGAATATTTGCTGAAGTTCAGCTTTATTACTGGAAACAATCTCACCCCATCCTGCTGTCCACAACCCACTGACTTTTCTGCATTTTACTTATTTCTGTTGCACTGTCCACTTTACTGCTGTAAAATGCAAATTTACCACCTGTGGGACTAATAAAGGCTCCTATCTTATCTTATCTTATATTGAATGTTATAAGTCATAGGCAGAGAGAATAGTTTCATTAAATTGCAGTTTCACCTGTAGGGTGACCAGTAGGGGTCACTTCTTTGAATCTAGCCAAGTCAGTCGGGATTTTGTTACACCAACTCTATAAAGTACCCTGCGTATGGTGATGACCATCAGCTGGTTGGTCTGGACCGGAAATATCCACCTCTGGCCACATATATACATAAGGTATGTGGATAGACAGGACATGTGCTGGGGGGACACATTATGTACATTGAAACTGTCACTGTTGGGACGTTTCAAATGTTTCAGCTGTGCAACGATGCAGCAGCAGAGATGTAGAGTAAATAAATAAAAAATATGATAATCCTTCCTTTTACAGGCCCCCGAATTACTAAGTAATTACCTGGTAAATACTGTATATGGTAAATTATAGTATAGTACAGTCGAACCTTCGCCTTTTAACTGGACCAACTCAGACATCAAACGGGTCTGTTGAATTTTTTCCGACTTGTACATACATTGACCAAAATTTTGGAATTCGACCGTTCCTGCCAAAACTTGTATGGGTCAATACACGTTCAACTCTAACAATTCACACCTTGAATTTTGAGAAACTTAATGGTTTACTTACTTAAATCCAAATCCTTTTAGACACTATATGGATAGAAGTATTGGGACACCGCTTAACCATTGAATTCAGGTGTTTCATTCAGAGCCATTGCCACAGGTGTATTAAATCAAGCACCTAGGCATGCAGTTGGGTTTATAGACATTTGTGAAAGAATGGGTCATTCTGAGGAGCTCAGTAAGCAAGGCAAGGCAAATATATTAATAAAGCACATTTAAAACAGCAGACGCTGACCAAAGTGCTGCACAACAGGGATTCACAAATAGAATCTAAATTTAAGCAT